CAGTTCCAACTGCCCGGCCCTGCTCTCCCTGGGGCTCAGGCTGCCAGTCCCGCACAGAGCACTGGGGTTCGGGCTGCCGGCTCCCCCGCTGACGGGGGCAGGACTCGGGCTGCCGGCCCCAACTGCCCAGCCCCGCTCTCCCTGGGGCTCAGGCTGCCAGCCCCACGCGGAGCGCTGGGGTTCGGGCTGCCAGCCCCCCTGCTGACGGGGGGCAGGCTCGGGCTGCCAGTTCCAACTGCCTGGTTCCGCTCTCCCTGGGGCTTGGGCTGCCGGCTCCTCTACTGACGGGGGCAGGGCTCGGGCTGCCGGCCCCAATTGCCCGGCCCCACTCTCCCTAGGGCTCGGGCTGGCGGCTCCTCTGCTGACGCCTGAAGAAAAAGGTTTTTGGTTTAACTGGGTAGAGTGGCAGCCGAGAAGTTATATTTAAACACCTTCCAAAGAGGTGCTTTTGAAAGTTATTATGCATATGGCATTGATTTTGTATGGGGAGGTGAGAGGTTATTTCTTAGCACTTATAGAGCAATTTATACAGTAGAAATGATGTAGGTTAACGTATGCTGTATTTCAGTTTTCCAATTAACTGGCTTAGAAATAGCATTTCTTCTTCCAGTGAGTCTCATTACTCCTTTAGTTTACACCTGTCATTCTCAGGATGGACAGTGAGGAAAAATACACATTCATGTGTAGGAACAAAGACAAGATTACACCAAGAGATAGCTGTCCAGCATTCCCAACAGAAGCAAATAAGTGTGGAAAATGGTTGCAAGTTCAAAGTTGGCAACTTAGTTGTATTTACAAGAGGTATATCTTTCGCAACAAACTATCCAACAATGTTCCCAATAACCTATGTTACTAGGATGGCTAGAGCATAGACATTTTGCTCTTCCCCTTAGCAATAAGACTAATTCAGTTTTCAGCCGTCATGGCTGGACAGTCAAAGTGAAATTTCACAGTCCATTTATAAACAAGCAGTGTTATTGTCAGAGTCCTTCAATAGTCAAATGTTTCGAATGTAAAGGCTATCCCTTCACACAGTCTGATTGTTAGGCTCTGACTGACAATTCCAACTGGGATCAATAGCAAGACTTCCTATGGAAGATACTTAACAGGAGACTATTAACAACTGTTTCAAATTCTCATCAGCAGTTTGTTTTCAAGTGTTTTCCAAAGGAGATGGGTGGTTCATTATTTTTATATGGATTGGACCACACGAGCATCCAGAGTGTGCCAGACACTTTCCGAAGTTAAAATGTGAGCCCTTTGGGAAAGGGACT